AACTTGACGAGTCAAGAAACCATGAACCCCTTTTACTTACAGCTCGCTTCCGATATATTTGACACTTTTCTTTATGTTTCCTGAAATGTCTCATAATTTCAGTTGTATTTAAAGTGGTTGCCTTCCTTTATTTCTTTTTCAAGAATCGATCATATACACCTGATTAAAAATGATGTCTATTCACCATCGAATAGATGAGCGCGCTTGCGTGCATTCATTAATAGCATCTCCTTTAATAAAAGGAGAAAGTAGGTGCCCATTAATATAAAATTCAAATACATCTGCACAAAACGGCTGAAATAAAGGCAGAACTGTGCCATTATCAAGTGTTGACGTTTTGATATAAACACTTAATATTTATGTTAGTTTTCAATAACAGCACAAAAATCGATTAATTATAATTCAACCAACCATTTGTCATTTTTAACAGATTTTGACTAAAATAAATTTATGCAAAATATTTTACGAATCAATGATTTTTATTAGTTTGTTTTGCATTTTTGATATTGTTTATGCTCAGGGATAAAGGAGGGTAAAAGAACGGAGGTTATCATATACAAGTAAAAGAGCGTGCTTATAGTACAGAGCAAGAATGTTATGACCAGCTCTTTCTGGATATACGCTGTTGTGTGCAGGGAGTTCCGATGAAAGCTTAAACTGTACTGATAGAAGTGTTCTTATTTTCTCCTTTATTTGTCGATTACAATCTCACAAAATTGCTCAAATACTCAAGCACTAATGAAAAAACGTTTCACTATATCACAGGAACTGCCTCTACACAACAGTTTAAAAAAAGAAAACTGAAACGTCTCATATAAACAAAGTTATAAGAATCTGGTTAGTTTCTTCTTAATCATTTAAATTTTCATCATATAAATGGAATGCGTGTTACCAAGCGTGAATATACTGCAAGCCTAGATTTTCAAATAACTTATCTTACGCAATAGGTGGCGCTGGCGGGTAGAGACGCGGACAACCAGCAAGCTCACCTGTATAGTCCGGGTAGAAAGAGGGTGTTAGTTTGACTCATCGGCTAATTCTGGGTTCCGGGTCACGCCCGGGGCGCTGTGAATAAGAAATAAACCTGTATTTTTTTTATGAACATTTCTTTTTTTGCTTCTTTCTTCCATGTGTTCTGCTGGAAAAACTAATAGTATTATTATGATTATTTTGTCATCAGAATGTCTGAGCGTGGAGGACATCCATATTATTATTCAGCACTACTGTTATTTATTTATTCAGGAAAGAAATTTTAGAAAAAGCCGTTCTGATATTTAAAAAAAAAGCGATGTGAAGTCTTATTCGGAACCTCAAACATATTTGAAGCTTAGTTTCACTAGTCTGATTTTCATCACAGATATAATTTCTTTTGTTCCTGAAACAACTTTTAACTCTTCCGGCATTTTTTTTCAATTTCATCGCATTCAAGTTCACCTGGCATTTTAATTCGCTCATTGTGTTTTTTTTTCTAGCAGACTAACATCCTTTTAATTCTAACAAAGTTCACTGAATAAATTTCAAAACATGCGAAAATGATGTAAACTACAAACGCAGTAATTCAATTTCTGGTGAGATGAATTGTACTTTTACTGGCTGTATCCAAATCTAAAATGAAACTGCTCGATGAATCGGCATGACAATGAAGGCATTTTCACTTTTGCCTTTTCTATTTATTTACTTTTAGTTTATAAATCAAAGCGATGGTATTTTTGCAAGTAGAGAAACAAGCTTAAGATAGATTTCAAAAGAAAATCGTAATCAAACGATAAGAAAACTGAGAAGAAAAATGCGTAAATTTGTAAATTTTTGAGTATCAAAAATGCCAACGTGATATTTTAAACTGATAAAAAATAAATAAATTAGAACAAATTTGAATTTCGTGGATTAAAAATGATATTCTAAAAATTTCTAAAAAAAAATCTGTAGTTTTAGTAATTATTATAAAAAAAGAATGAAGCAAAGGGAAATAAGGAAGTAAGAGGAAAAGCGAAAAGCCCAGGTAAAGAAATATAAAAAAAAAAACTGTTCTCAAAATATCATTTTATTTAATTATCTTCGAAAAAAATCGCTATTAAAAGTGTGACATAGGAACAATTGTTTAGCTGAAACATCGCAAGAAAGTGAGGATAAATATTTTTTCAAAGCATTACTGAGTTTGATTTTCCTTTTCTATTATGTATAGATTTATCTTACAGGACCACAACAATAGGGAACACGGTGGGGCTCAAAGTGACTATAATTAATTTGGGGAATTAACTTACTAACCATTGCTCTATGATAAGTGTCTTTTGCACCCGAAGTATAGCTATTTTATCTCAGCTTAGTCTGATACAGATTCAAAATAGAGGAAGAGATGGTCGAACTCGCTATCCAGGCGTTTTATCTGGGAGACTAACATTGCTATTAGCATTATCAATCTTCAGCATGTACCCTATGTACTAGATTGTGGATATTTAGCTTAATCTGACAAAGAACCACGGTAGTACAGCAACCTGAAAAAACCGAAATCATTACACTTGTGTACAATTAGGGAGACTAACTTTATAGCCATCGTTCTATGGTTGATACCCTTCATTTTCTCCGATGTAGAACGAACGTGTCTGTATCTTTGTGAATGTTTTCTTTTTAAGTGTGCTTACTGAAATAAAGTATACAAGATTTATTCAATTCCATTTTCCCTATCATTATTTGAAATCTGAATAATGTAAAAATGTTTCGTATGGCGAGACCTCCACTACGCTCTTAGCCTTAAAAACAGTCAATCACAGTTTTGATTGCGACTTTAGTGCAGAAATATACTCGCTAAACTAGTGCACGCCAACAAAACATGGAAATATAATAAAGCTTATCTCATCTTACTAGACTTCAACCGAAAGCTAAACCATTGCAAAATAAAATTACGTCAGTGTCTTTTGTTGTTTTATTTCTATTTCTTTTGGTTTGAACTTTACGTTTTTACGATCCTCTAGTAGCACAACATTTTACGGTAACAATCAGAAGATGTTAACAGTGATTATTTATTCATTAGATAGCAAATATCACTTAGTAGTGAAGGTAACTTCCGTTGAACATTTGAATTTCGTCAAATAGTAATATAACAATTTCCTTTTGACTCCCAAAGAAGGAAAAAATATTTGTATTCAGCACAAGGGCTTGATTAACTTCCATTCCAAAAGAATATATTGATAAATCACGAAGGGATTCCCCAGATATCAAACAAAGATAGCTTTCTTGTATCTAAAATTAGTCTTTTTTTTTTCAAGTTTTGCTTTTCAAGAAATAACTCTCAGGAAAAGGCCTTAGATCATAGTGTTCGGAAGTTTTTCAAACAAATACAAGACAACTGTATTTTCGCATGACTGAACTGCTTTGAGTTGAATAATGCAGTTTCTTTTGTGTTAGAACAGTGTATAGACTGGGGTTGAAATGATAAGTGAAAATAAAGACATTTTGTCGTTTTGCTGAAGTCATAAACCAAATTATCACTGATAATTTTAATTTTTAGTCTATAATATGTTTCTTTAAAAAAATTTAATATTAGTTTTAAAGCATCGCTATTTGACTTTAAACCCATCTTTGCATATCATAAGACTTTTACAATTGGAAGCTTCAAATTTTGTATTCCTATAGTATAAACTTATTAACCGTGAATCATGCAGGTTTTGACTCACATGTAAGAGCTTACATTAGATGCTGCATAACTAATGTAAATATTATATGTATGATTAATTACTTTTGTCGGATTTGTACATGCATATTAGCATGGTGCTATATTAATTGAGCCATTCTTCCTTGTATACATATATATATATATATATATATATGTACACGCATAAAATCATATACTGGGAATATGTGAATGTATCATTTAGATAATTTACATTTGCGTATACACGTGCAAACTTTTCTCTTTCTCTTGCTATTTATCCAGCTATCTAGTAATCGAGCCATCTTTCAGACACGCGCACATATGTACCTTGTACATTTGAACGCTGGTACTGATTTGAATAGTGTATTTTCCCCCAATGTAATTCTTTATACAAAACTTTTTATTAATTTTATTGAAAGCTTAAACATAGAAAAACAAGCAGAAGCATCGAAGCAAGCAGACGAACAAAAAGACAAATACAAAAGCTTTTTAGGATTGACTCAAAGCAAACACAGAACAACAGCAGTTACAAGATTTAATTAATTTTCTGTAGAATATTGAAAGGTCAGAGAAAAGAATACGAATGAAAATCATTTTAATACAAAGAACAGATACTTTTGTACAAATGATAAAAGTTGTAAAGGAAAGGAAAAAACTTTTGGAAAAGGCTTTCATAATTTAGAATTTTCTTAATATTTTTTAAATTTATTCTCGGCGCTTGAGTATTGCATAATTCATTAGTTTCTTACCAGGTTTCAAAAAACTCTTAATGCCTTCCGCAATAATAGATTGGTTCGTTTGGAGCAAACATCGTAATTGTACTTATCAATTTTCATATCCAGATGACAAGTTCATTTTTTTCTCTATGTTTTAACATTCACTGATTTATTTTAGTGTTTATTGCCTGTATTGCTGTTATTTGGGCTGTTAGATTTGTGTTTGTTGTTTTCTCCAACTCCCTATTTGTTGTTTTCTTTTGTTCGTTTATTAACGTTTCCTGTATTATCAAGCCTCAGTTAGATTTATCTTAGTAGATGGGGAAGAAAATTTTCTACAAATCAACAAAACAGCTTAGTAGATTTGGTTATATTAGCATCCTAAAATGCACAAAAGTTGACTTCTTGGTTTAACTGTGTATTAAATCTCACACGGACTAAGCATCATTCTGCTAAATCAAACAACCGGTATTTTTAATATATAAGCATATACATACAAATTCTATACACAAACGTTTATGTATACCTCAATATTTTTGCAAGTGGACTTATTTGCTTTGCATACATCAACATATAGGCATATGTGGGGGGTAGGTTTGGATTTATGTATACGGATGTTCAATTATATCTCAAATTTAGCAGTCTTCAATCTCAGCTCCTGGTTCTGGAGTAACTATCTCATCTGTACAAACATAATCTCCTTGGTCCAAAATAGTTTCTACATTTTCAGACACATCGGGGACGAGATCTTCAGCGCTTGCGATTGAATCCATCATTTGACTGGCAGCTTCAGCAACATCTGGAAGTGATAGTTCCTCAGTTTTGGGTGAAGATTCGATCTCTCTTCCACGCACTGTTATCACAGCTGGGTACTTTTCACGGTACAGAAATAAGGCAGCTACGGCAGCGCCTAGTAGGATGAACAGAATGAGAGGAATGAGCCAACGTGGCAGGCTGCTATCCTTGCTCTCTTTGCCCTCTCTAGTCCTTTCCTTCATTTGGGCAGTGCGTGCTTGAGAAAGAGGTGATCTGCGGAGAGTTATGAAATGTGATGTGAGAAAATACTGTAATGCTAACAACATTTTAAATAATGGAGCTTGAGAAGACTGATGTGAAAGGAATAGGAAAATTTGATTTTTACCTACAGAAATTAAACTTAGATTCGTTTTTAGTTGTGTTTACAACTGAATAGGTTTTGAAACGTATACTATTTGTGCGAAAATACATTATTTGGTAAATGTTATATAAAATATACTCAGAATATCAAAGATGTTATTGTTTAGAAATTATTAATATTAATAGAAATATCTATTAGATTTATAAAAACTTTTATGTAAGAAGTTAACCGATATTGTAAATTAAGTTTTGTCAAAACTTTTACTCTTCTCAGTATTCATTTAAAGCAGTGTACAGCCAACAAAGTAAAAGACCTGAAACGGTCGTGTGCACTTTTTATCAGCGAATTTCCCAATTTTAACTCTGAAATTTACAACGGATTGACTTTATCATATAATAATAATTTGTTGATTTAAATGAATAAATTTCTTAAAATTTTAATCGACAGTACATTCTTTTAAAACGGATTACTATGTGATTAAAAAATCAAGATTGGGAAAGTTGCCTTGAGCAGTTGAGTCCGTGAAACTCTTTGAAGCACTATTGTTTTGGGATAGAGTGGTTTCGTTTACAGATCTCAACGACTATATTGTTTCGCCTGATCTCTTACTCGATCATGAAGTGTTATTTATTTCCGAGGGATTTTGGGGCCGCAAAAGAAGAAAGGAAAAATATGTTCCAATTATCTTTTGCCTATATCAACTGGCGAAGCGTTTGTATATCAGAAAATCTATGAATCGATAACTAAGCTGAATTCAAGAATTCCTGTTTTGTCTCTGAAACAAGTTTTTAAATAAATTTTCGATCGCCTCTTCTGATCAGTTATATTACGATAGTGATTTGTAAAGATGCAGCCGCATTTTCATAAATTGATTCCACACATGTACCACTGAGAAAGGAACGCAGCGAATTAGGGAATCGTTTTAAGAATCAGTTTTGATGGGATATCAATAGACTTCAAAAATCAAATATAGATATTTTCATTTGTTAATTTACTACTATAGAATATGAATACCCGAGGCAACCAAACCTTGAATTTTCGTATCTTAGTAATCAAAATCTAATTTTCGATGCATTATTGTTTGTTTACCTAATTCTAAATATCGCCGTGCTATAACTAATAAATTAACTCACTCACTCGATCATCTTTTATTGATGGTTACTTCACTCAATCAGCATCAGGATTAAATTAGCAAGAAAGTTCCAATTAGGGTTCAAACCATCATAAAAATTTAATATAAGGAAAAGGAATTTCAAAAGGTAATTGCACTGTTTGCACGTTAGTATTATTTGTTTCTAATATATTGTTGGCTGTACATCTGTAAGCAAAGAATTCAAAATTCAGTAGGACCAAATTAGGATTTTTTTTTATATCTCTGTAATTAAATTTGGCTATCTGAAAACTTTCTAAAACACCAACTTTAATTGACTACGTATATTAGCAATAGATACCTGGAAACTGGCTTTTCGTTTGTTTTCGGAACACATTCCGAACGCTTAGGTGGTGCCACAGAAACCTCAGAAGGCTTTGGAGACAGAGCAGCTTTCAAGTATTGCTGCTTAGAAGCATCGACTTTCGGTTCTTGAGCAGCAGGTGGTTTCGAAATTATTACTTGTTTGGCGGGATCTTCAATATTTGCCTTGGCTATCAACACAGGGCCCGACTTGGGTACCGGCTCGGGTGCTGAATCACTCACCGGCTTTGATTTCGGCTCGGTGACCGGTTTAGGCAACGTTTTTGGTGGTGTCGTGGATGGAACTTCAGGGGCCTGCTTCAGTGCGGGCTCAACTGATTCTGCAGATGTCTTCACAGATTCATCTGCAGGACCCGTCAAAAAAGCCGCGATTTGGCGCCTTCGCCTCCTTCGGCTGGACGAGATAAGGTTATATAGAGTATTAAAAGAAACATATGGAATTGGAAAATATTTTAAACATGAAGATTCTCAGCGGATAAATGTCGGGTTCTCGCTTTCAAATCAAAATCTGTATTCATTGATTCATTGTTTTAATTATTCGTACTTTACAGTTGATGTTTTCTATATTAACGATTTCTATTTCTTTTACCATAGAAAAAAATCAATATTTTTACAGAATTCCCATTTTGTATCGGAAATGCAATGCACTTAAATGCCATTTAAACAACAATAATTATTTGTTGGAAGTTGAATATCATCTTTCAAATAAATATAATTTTAATATTCTAGACAAAATTATAATAGGACTTAATCAGATACTAATTTTGAATGTTCAAGGGTTGGATAAAAGCAAGAGTGGTTATTGCAAGTTCATTAGCTGGACAAAGTCACCATAAAATAAATAAATAGAAAATAATATTCGAAAAATAAGCTGTAAGCATCGGGATTCCTCTCCAAGGTATTAAACATTTGCAAAGAAAAACCCTTACACATTGATGGAGAGAAAGAAGCGTGTAATGGAATATCATTGGGGAAAGATAGGGAATTAAGCATCGCGCTGGGTTAGAACATTGTCAGTGAGTAGTGTGGCAGGGGTTATAAACACATTTAGCTTTCTTATAAAATTAAAAAACAAACAACTTACAGTTTTCAAAATTCTCATATTTGGTGCTGGATTTGTTTGATCTCGCTAACGGTAAAACAATCATTTGTTTAATCAAAGAGGGAATAAAAGAAGTTATGTCAGTGTCTTAAGTCGAATTTACATAAAATTTAAACTGAAATCAACATCTTATGAAATAATATCGTTCTTTTTGTTCTTGCAAAAGTCAGGTATTTACTTTATAAATTGTTTTCAAACAATATTTTTATTTTGAACCCAGTTCAGCATAAAATATCACTTGGCTTTTCTTTTGAATTTATTTTCCTTCTTATTTAGTTAGTTTTTTGTATAGTTTCAGAGATAGTCAAATAAAAACCTGACTGAAGTAAAGACTTACTCATTGTTTACTCATATTACAACAAAAAAGTATTAGCAAACATAATAAGTGCGTACTGATCTAACATGAATATCCACCACCCAGACCAGATATGTAACTCACACTAAAAACAAATACAATGTAAAACGTCATAAGAAAATGCTGCAAGTCTTCTCGACTTCAGTCCATCCATTCATTCTTTTTTCGATCATCAAAAACAAAAATATACCAATTTCAAACATTCCTGTTTTTTCTTTTTACGTGTTCTTACAGAATTTTCCATGACGTAGTTTCAAAAATTAAATGTGTTTTAAAATTGTTTAAAAATAAAATAAAATGCAATTAAAATAATTGACATATTTGATGAACAAATCTAAGCTAAATCTTCTTGTCACTCCGACATTATAAGACAAAATCATAAGGAGGGATTTCTTGCTCTCAGTTAATAGAATCTGTGAAAAATAAAACAAAAAAATATAAGACACGTGATGAATTCTTTCAGGATATATATCTTTGAGCAATGTTTGTCACAGTTACCGAGTTTTGTGACCATACAATACTTGAAACATATCGATTTAGATATCGATTTAAGTTTTAATATAGTTATACTATTAGAAATTAAAATGAAGCTTTTTAAAAAAGTGTTAAATTAATGTTTTATTCAAGATAAAAAGGAATAACAGTGTTTTGTACTGACAATGGAAACGAAATTAAGTAGCGTCAAGTTAAATAAAAGATTATGGGGAGTTTGTCAAAGAGTTTTGGAATCTTTATAAAATCCATTTTGTAAACAAAACTGGTTTAAAATAATGAAAGTTTTGATAAATTTACAGTAGAGATTTAGAGAGCAAATTTACCGACTAACATTCATTAGCACTTATTGATAAAAGAAAGTAATCACAATGTTTTTAAACTGATTGCTTAGATCCGTTCATCATAATGCCATATTTTGCACAAAAATAATTCTATTGAATATTTCTTTAGATAATATTTAAAAAATATTTAGAATAATTTGTGAATTTGATACACAATTTCATCCCAAATACAACAGATAAGAACTGATATATCACATTTCTATTTATATAACTTTTAAATACGAAAGCAGTAATCACGTAAATATTACCAGTGCATGTCACATACAGAAACCAGACTAAGATTTATGTAGAGAAGAAATAATTTTAAAATGGATATTAATTACTAATTGTTTAAATTATTTAAATACGAAGGTGGTCTGTAAAGTTCTCGACCCGACCCACTTCCAAAAATTTAACCAAATGATATAATATCAGATTTTATTTTTTTAATCTTTTTTGGTCAGGATGAAAACTTTTCAGTACACCTTCGTATTTTGCAAAGAATGCCATTCTTTACTATAATGCATACAAACACGAATCTCTGTTGTGTATTTAGTTATGTAAACCTCAGTCCTACAAATCAGGAGTGGGAGTGATAATAATAGACAACCAAAAAAATTTGACACTAGAAAATAACACGTCTAAATGAAATAATTCTTTGAATTTTGTCCATCAGAGAAATATTTAACTGAAAAAAAATCGATATTATCCCAAGAAGTTTCATAATGTACGTAATTTTACCTAAAGCGTCGAGTAGTCAAAACAGTTCGATCAAGTTTCTACTAAACACCAAAAGTTACAAAACAAGATTAATCTAGGAAGCAAACAGCAAAATCTTCATCACGTACCTTTTTGCTGAGTTATTTATTGAATTTGTCCGTCAAGTGGATTGCACTTTAACATCCATTCCAAAAGAATTTGTAAATTGTGACAAACTGTTTTTGAGAAAATCATACTTAGATTATTGAAATTTGAACAGGAAAATATCAAATGTTTAACATGGTTTCATGGTATTTTCGATGTTGAACTGAATTAGAAGCAAAAATGGCCGTACAAAAACCTTCAAAATTCATTTAAAAGACAATAAAATATCAACGATCAAGCAAATAAGATCTTGAGGAATGAACTGATTTTTGTATCCCTGTCAATAAGTAAAGACATAAAAAATAATGAGAAAATGTTCTTCTAATAATAAACTGATTTTAAATTATTATCTTTATGTAAAAATTATATGATACTGATTGTCCAAGGAATGAATTATAATATTCATAAGTACAAGATAAAAGTGATGCGACAAAAATAATCTTTAAGGAAAAGTTCAGAACAGTATGAAGATTCCTTATTATCCTTTCATAACTGATACATCTCTCTCTCCCACATCATAACAGAAAATTCAAAATAGAAATGAGAAATCATTATAAGAGACTTACAAGTTTCTTCATGTGAAATCTACAAACAAGAAAGACAATTGCAAAACATTAACAAATTTAGTGCGAATGGCTAAAAATTCAACCAGAGTATCAGTTATTAAGACTTCGAGGGAACTTAAAATCGTTCACTATATCCACAGTGAAACATTTGTAACTACGATTTATATTTCAATAACAGAGTAAGAAGAGATTCACCAGAACATATTAAACATGTGCAAAAGTTCCAGGCACTCTATTTTTGAAACATTGAAAGACTGAACATAAGAAAAATGCGATTTTAGTTTTTAAAAAAAGCACTGGAAACTTTTGCACACATTGCGTTTATATTTTGCTTAAAGATTGAAAAAAATGTTTTATTAAAATGTTCGATTAAATGAAAGACAAGAATATGCACAGTGTAACTCTGAAAGATTTAAGATAGTTACATATACCCATAATGTTTGCGTAAACAGAATGGCAACTCTGCTAAAGATTCTTTTATAAATGATGATTGGCATCCTCCATTCTTTTATATGCTATATAGAATATATACGAGAGGGTGGGAGTGAAAAGTTCCCGACCCAACCCATTTCTCCAAATCAGTATTGCAATGAATAAACATGAGAATACTGATCTGGAGGTCGGGTCTGGAATTTTACAGAGCCCCTAGTATTTTTAATATGATGCATATACATTATACAATAATCTATATTGATATAATTTTGACAATTAATACCTGGAATCGCTTTCCTCAAGATTAGATGTTAACTCAGAGGGCGTGACCACCGGAGGGGTTTCCACCACCGTAGAAGATACTGTTTCTTTATCGGCAACAGATGCAGCAAAATCCTGTGATGTATGTAATTCTGAAGCCTCAAGTTCGAGTGTGTTATCATCTTCGATCTGGAATTCAAAACTGACTTCTGGTTCTGGCTCAGGTATTGATATAGGTTCAAGTTCTGTTACACTAACAGATTCACTAATAGATTCAGGTTGGGACTCGGGCTGGGAAACTGGATAGGCTTCTGATTTCTCTTCGGACACAGAAACAGGGTGTGGTAAAGAAATAATTTCTGATTCCTGAACAAGAATGGGCTCTGCTTCTGGTACGGACATAGAAATAGTCTCTACTACTTCAGACGCTGAAATATTTTCTGATTCTGCTTCAAAAGCGGAAACAGGTTCTGCTTCTAGCTTTGTCAGAGAATTGGGCTCAGCTTCTGTTCCATGTTTTTGGTGTGGAACTACAGAAATGTGTTCCGGTTGCTGTTCAGAAACAGGTTTTGCGTCCGATTCTGGAACGGTAATAGGTTTTGTTTCTAGCTCGGGTTTGGAAATAGTTTCTGATTCTGGTATAGGTACAGGAACTGGTTTTACTTCGGTTTCTGGTGCGGAAACCGATTCTTTTACCTGAACTTGTTTTACTTCTGGTTCCGGTTCGGATTCTGGAGCAGAAGCCGTTCCTGCAGTCGGCTCGGACGCAGAAGCCGTTTCTGCGGTCGGCTCTGACTCAGAAGCGGGCTCTAACGTCGACTCCGGCTCAGAAGCGGGTTCTTCCACCGTCGGTGGTTCAGAAGCGGGTTCTGCCACCGGCCCTGGTTCAGAAGCGGGTTCTGCTACCGGCCCAGGTTCAGAAGCGGGTTCTGTCACCGGCCCTGGTTCTACCACCGGCCCTGGCTTAGAAGCCGTTTCTGCCACCGGCCCTGGTTCAGAAACATGTTCTGCCACCGGCCCTGGCTCAGAAGCCGTCTCTGCCACTGGCTCTGGCTGAGAAGCGGGTTCTGCCACTGGCCCTGGTTCAGAAGCTGATTCTGCCACCGGTCCTGATTCAGAAGCTGATTCTGCCACCGGCCTTGATTCAGAAGCAGGTTCTGCCACCGGCTCTGGCTGAAAAGCGGGTTCTGCCACCGGCCCTGATTCAGAAGCGGGTTCTGCCACCAGCTCTGGCTGAGAAGCAACTTCTGCCACCGGCTCTGACTGAGAAGCAGCTTCTGCCACCGGCTCAGGTTGAGAAGCGGCTTCTGCTTCTGGCTCTGAAACTGATTTTGCCACCGGCTCTGACTCAGATGTAGGTTCTGCTTCCAATTTTCGCACAGAAACGGGTTCTGCCTTCAGTTCCGGTGGAGAAATGGGTTCCGCCTTCGGTTCCGGCTCAGAAATGGGTTCCGCTTTCGGTTCCGGCGCAGAAACGTGTTCTGCCTTCGGTTCCGGCGCAGAAACGGGTTCCGCCTTCGGTTCCGGCGCAGAAACGAGTTCAGGCTTCGGTTCCGGCACAGAAACGGGTTCCGCCTTCGGCTCAGAATCATATTCGGCCTTCGGTTCGGGTGCAGAATCATATTCTGCTTCTGGTTCTGATGCAGAAACATATTCTTCTTCTAGATCTGCTTCCTGTTCAAATACAGAGACACTTTCTGTTTTCATATGTGACTGATCGCAAAATGTCTCAGTAATCGCTTGTTTGTTAACTACTGGAACCATTGCTACTTTGTAAGATGTTGCACTCGGATAAACAGGAACTGGTGGGCTTACATGACCAAACTTTGGAGATTGCGTTGGTGGGCTGACATGGGCAGAAGGTAGAGCAGATGACTGACTGACATGGGCAAAAGTGGGAGTTTGCATAGGTGAACTTACATGGGAGATTGGCAGAGAATTTGAAGGGAATGGAGGGCTAACGTGGGCAAATCCTGCAGTTGATGCTGATGGGATCATATGGGAGAAAGACTGGGCAGGTGGAGGGCCTGGAGGACTGACATGAGCAAATGTGGGTGTTGATGACGGTGGGGTCACATGGGATATAACTGCAGCAGTTGGAGGGACTTGCGGGCTCATACGTATATTTCTGGAAGGAAAAAATGACCCACTGTTTGACATTTTTTCTTTGGCAGCATAAGTGCCTCGTGGAAAGGTTTTGGAACATTGTAATGCTGCGGTAAGTTCTTGATAAACTCGATCACGGTCTGCATCAGGTGTTTTAGCCTGTTTTGGTTCTGTTTCAGATTCTTTCGCTAACTTTAAGGTGGGTGGAGGCACAGCTGTCACCGCACCCCAAGAACGATAAACTGGCTCAGGTTCTGGTTTTGAGACAGGTCCATGATTTGGTGGATTCGGTATAGTAGGCGAGGTTGCTGACTTCTTCAAGAAATTAAATTTAGGAGATTTTACAGGAGCCCATTCTTTCGGTACAAAACCTGAAGGCAGAGGTTTCTGTTCAGATTGAATTTTAAATTGGGTAGGAAAAGATGTTGGTAGCTGGACAGGGATAGGTTTGGTGGGTTGTTGAGATAGGATTGGTATATCTACTGGTGGTGGTGGAACTTGTAACGGTTTCGGTATGGGGATTTCTTTAGGCCTAAACGAAACAGGAGTAAAAGGGAGTTTACTGGTTGTTGCCCCGGTGGCTTTCGATGATACAGGCCGATACTGAGGTTCCGACTGAGCAGCTGATGGTTTCGCTACAGGTACTTGCTGAAGCTGTTGATTAACGCTTGCATTTCTTCGAAAATGCGTGCCTTCAACTGGAGGAAAACTCGTGGCTGGTTGCGAGTCTTCAGTGACGATCTGTTGTATATGGCTCAACCACTTGCTATAAGGGGATATGAAACATACAGGCAAATATCAAAGCAAATTAGTTAAGATTAACTTGTTCTTTGAAGAGATCAGAATTTTATGAACGTCTTTTGTTTGTTATGAGTGCGTTTATGTAAATGGAATTTTGATTACTTACAAGTATCTGTATACAAGGATTCTCCAAATTTCAGTTGTGTTTGTATGCATTCATGTACGTGTGTATGAATATGCGTTTAATTACCGATTTAGAATGGTACATATATATATATATATATATATATATATATATATATATAATGTATTTGGACGGCAGTTGCTTGTTTGAATAAAAACGAAAGTTTTAGGAATTTTAATTTAATTTTTATATGATTTGAATTAGTTTCTGGTTTCTTAGGAGAATTTTGAATTAAATTGCTCAATGTATTCTGAGCGCTTTCGGCTTTCATAAGCCATTATCAAAGATTTTTGCTGGTTGATAGGTTGTGTCCATAGGTATTATATTTTTCGGTGATTTTGTTTTTTCAAATATCGCATCTTCACGTGAAGAATCGGTACTTGAAGAAACCTGACATGACCTAGACCAACGCATGAAGATGCGACACGCGAAAAGTGCCAAAGAAACACTATATATGTATATCTACAGACAAAACCTTGTCAATCCACAAAAATGGCTTAAGAAAACTGAGAGAGATTAGAATACTATGTATAATTTATTTTTAAATTCTTTCTGGAAGCTAGAAAAACCATCCAGCAGTGTCAAAAAATAAAAATACTTTCGTTGTTTTCAAGTAACATATATATATATATATATATATATATATATATATATATATATAAATGTTTATTTTATAAATCTAAAATTGTTTAAAGGAAATGCTTATTTTAGACATTTATATTTCTGAATAGTAACATAATTCATAGACGCAGGAAGTATTTTAAATGTTAACCACAAGTAAATAAAAGTACCCAAATTTTAACTCTAAATTTGAAAGTATATTAATGTAATAGATTTTCAGGAACTGATTTTCTCCTTTTTTTTAAAAAACAGAAAAGAAACAAGTATATATTTTAGATGTATGAACACTTGAAGCGATTTTAATATTGCAATTGTAAACATTTTTATATACAGTACCATCTAAGTTTTAGGCATTTTAAACTATTGTAATTCTTTTTATAATTGCTATCTTATAAATGGACATTTCTCATTGCGTTTTCTACAGATGTAACATTTGCCATATTGAAGTAAATTCCATATTTAATTACCATATTATGTAAAAGTGATTTGGAATGAGAAAGAAAAATGCGAAACGATCCACAGAAATTTGGCGGTTCTACCGCTATATTACAAATGTTTTCTTAATATATAGTGAACATTCTGGCATCGAATTCCTCTATACTTTCATTGCTTGAAATCATGGCGAAAATTTTCAAAGAAACCAGGACCAGAATACGAGCTACAGAGCAGTAGATAAGGAATTTGGAATTTCAAGAAGCAGCATTTCAGTTTTGAAGCTTCAAAGCACTGGAAGCATTTGGAATCTACCAAGATGTAATCACCTTCAAAATTTGCAGTATTGAATAGTGACTGACAGCAAAAGCTCAGTTAAAGTAAAAAGACTGAAAGACAAGTGATGAATGAGTCCGACTTATTCCTTTCGATGTTGGTGCTTCCTTTGACAAGAAGTATATTTCATTTAAGAAAACAACATTAAACAAAAAGCATTTGAATGCAAGATTAAGTTAATCAAAGAGATATGAAGTATGGAATGCAGATGCTTGAAATAAGATCACATTCAACAATGACGATAGGATGGTGCTGCATTCGAATAAGGCCTACAGGAAAACGAAATGACTCACGACGAAAACGGTGAAGTTTGTGGGTGAGAGTCTGATGTTTTGGGGTTACATAAAAAGTGATGGTTCAATGAAGTTGGTTAAAAGTAGCTTGAATAGTGCTAAATACATCTAGTTGCTGAAGTATCATTTGATACCCGTGAAGACGAGATTTTCTGCATGACGGAACTACATACCACAGATTTCATGCAACACCACAACAGAGCCCTTACTTCAATATTAAGAAAATGTGGACAGAACTAAAGGGAAGAGTTCATCAGAAGAATCCACTCACGGGGATATCGAAAGCAAGAAAATGAGAGTAAAGCAGCGGGTATACTACTTGGCAAGTTTGAACAAATGGATGGAAAAATAAACATCATCTCATACATGTGAAGATGGTGAAGGATCTGTACGCTTCCTTTGTCAAACATATTGAAACAATTATTCAAGTTAAGGTAAGCCACACGAAATATTAACAATGTACAACAACTTCAAATAACCATTACGTAATAAATTTTCATTATAGTCATTTTCCCGTTTTAAAACAAGATATCTAGCTTGGTTCCAGTATGGTGCCGAAATAATTTTGTGAGTCTCATCGCATCTTCCCATTTTATTCAGAACATTTCTATAAAATATGATAATTAGCTGTGGAAATTACTCCAAGAGAACCAATGTTACATTTGTAGAAAACGCTTACAAGCTGGCCTTTGCTAGAAATTTACAATAGTTTTAAAGTAACCGAAAACTTTTGCAAGGTACTGTACTAACCATTATTATTTATACAAACTGTCGCATGAATATGAATAAAGCGGAAATATGAAAATATTTCAAATATATGAAATTACAAATTTTGAATATTTCTTTTCGTGACCTTTTTTCTCTCTCGAAAATTCTACATTAAATAACGATTGCGATTTTCTGATGTTTTGAATGTACCTATTTTATTTATGCAATATATTTCAGTAATACCTCGCTGTTTGCAGTTATTGTGAGATTCGGGTGAAATTAGTTGCAGTTTTACATGAAGTTACATTGTGTGAGATTTCAAAGATTTTCATTTACCGCTTAATCGTATCTATTTTCGGTTATGAATAGATTCAAGTAGCAAACATGAGTGCCTCAACTGTAATGTTACGATTTAAAGTAACGGACCGTGCTGTTCTCTTTCTCTGTTATCAACAACGACTCACAATTCAAGTACAATTGTCTAAACAGAACACAATCGAAAATAAATTACGCACATAAATAATCCCCAAATCTCTTCCCAACCTTTATAAAACTGCAACTAATACTCAAGCCCACTCACGACTTGAAACAAGTAAAAAAAGAAAAAAGACAGATTTCCTTTGTTTTGAAACTTGAACAGAATATTATTTGCAAGGACACGCACTCACACTAATACCAACACACATGACAGAGGCTTTCATTCATTGTTTCATTTTATCTACACAAATCATTTTATTCCATTTATTTGCCTCCTACAGTCGAGGTATTTCCAAATGTTTTTAGAAAGTTTTATTTTTCTTCAAATAACTTTGGGAAAATATTGACAACAACCCTTCTCATTACTATTAAAACCTTCAATAATCTTTAAAAATGTTTATTTAGCATAACTCTTGTACTATGTAAAAATTTGCACCTGTAAAAACCAGAAAATTGAGTTAATAAAATCCTATGAAAATAGAGACACTTGAATTCCGACGAGATTTTCGGAAAGTGATTTTTGGCCCAATAGTATCATTTAAGCAATCTATACAGTCATTAAGACAAAAGTTTCATGATTCACCTTTTGCACTTTCTCAATATATAGTTGCAAAAATCCACTAATTATTCTTACTTTGAATTGCAAATTGCATTTTGTTTTTATTTGGTCTATTAAAATATGAAAATCACCATAAAGGTCATCATTCCTTTCAGAACACAGAACGGAGAGTGTTTTGGAAGAAACTCAACATCACGTAAATGAAAAACGAAAATAATTATCAATTCTTCTTCTTAATTTAGTATTGTAAAATGACGGAGAAGAATCTTATTTCTAGTGTGTGTGGGTGGGTGTGTGTGGTGCGCGCGTGTGCCATGTCCCTTGAGGATGTAGACGATCATGGCTCTCCTTTATAGATTCTTTATTTTATTATCTCTGACCTGCCATAACTCATTGGAGAACTATAGTGGGGTGGTTTATCGTTGCTTTCTCCACGGTTTTGAATTCAGAACACTTTTAAGACGAGAGAACTCAGTCTGCCTTTTAACTGGGTGATTGAGAAGAAATTAATGCTTTTCCCAATAGCATTTGTGCGAAAGTGAACGCAACAGACGAAGCAGGTTTTAAACCCGCCTTGCCAATTTCACTTTCAACGATAATGACCGTTACGCTACTAGCACAACTGCTAAAGTAGATTCAATTAAAATATACCCTTCACACCGTTAAATTTGGTTATGGCTTAGGTTTACAGGAATAAATAATGGAATAAAATAATGTTGATAAAATGAGGCATTGGCAAATGCTACATCCCTCTTTGATATACAGTATGTGTACTTGCGGTTATAACGAAATAATTAAAATATTATGCAGTTAAAATAATAACGTGTATGCGAATGTATGTATGGCTTTGATCAGTTTTTAGCTGTTCGTGGAATAGGTGAACGCTTTTTATTAAGTGTGTGCAAAATTTCCACTCGTCCTCTTTTTTTTTTTTTGAAGACAGTTTTATTTATTTTTAAATAAAATACGAGAAACTTTTGCACAAACATAATATATTGTGTGTGGGTAGTTTAATAATACAAGAATACTTTTCAGTATTAGTGCTTGCTTCAAATTCTTATGAATTTGATGTGTTTTCGGAATATGTAGGCCGTGTCCAATAATTAACTGTTGATTCGTAGTTAAAAATATACAGACGGTAGATATTTAATTTACAATTGATATAAAAATATCTTTTTTAGCGTCAAAAATCAATCCTAAGTCTAACAATGATTTTGAATCTAGTTAACTACGTCTGGGAGAAGTTAGGTTTATTACTAGATCCATAAGGATTTTAAGTGATAGAATGTTTCTGTTAGAATGTTGTTCATTGTTTACCATATACGTATTTACTAAAAATGACAGTTCCGCATAAGTACTTCGTACCCAATGCGGATAATAAAAGTAAGACATTTTTCTATAGGCCCTCTCCTTTC